AAGCCTCCTATCTTGTCTGGTTCCCGAGGCCGCTTTCCCCCCAAAAATTTGCATATTTTTTTAAGGAGCCCGTACATGAGACCCATGCGTACGCGAGTGATGATATTAAAAAAGGTTGCACATGGTGCGAGCGCATACTCCTGAAGTTTCAGCCCTCTAGCTTCTCTGGTTCTCAAGTTGAAAGTGGGTGACAAAAAGTGCGAACACACACTCAGACAGCCTCTTGCCAATATGCGTTTTTGCATTTGCACATACGTAAAAACGCATAAAAATGAAAGCAGGCGATACAATGGAATGGCGACTAGGATAGGAATCGGAGCCAAAGGTGAACAGTGCGTGGACAACATCCCAACAAATTTCATGAAAATTCTGATCAATAAATATCAATCGAGTAATAGCAGAGCATTTCAGTGCCGCCGTCGTCCCTGCACTACTTCATGAATACAAAACATGTGATATCACTTTTGCGAAAGAAATTAATCTAGAAGTGACACAAAGATCATTGGAAAAACGAATTTTAGATGCCAACAAATTACATGATGTAATAACAATGAGTCGCGATAACGTTCCGGTGTAAAAGACATTGTGAAAGAAATGTATGTCAGAAAGAGAAGCTGGCTTGGTTATGTGGCAAGGATGAGAGACAATACAAATACTTAAATGGTACTCAGCATCAAGTGGAGAGCTGAAAGACCACTAAGACGCTGGGCTGATCTATCGACTTTAATTTATCGAGTGGTGCGAATGCAAAAAGCACACGATCGTAATTCATGGAAAGGTTGTCAGCCGCACTGATGGAGATCCAAGTTATGAACTAATAGTTGTTCTAGGTATTCCAGGTATCACTGGCAAAAGCTCTGATAACATACTTCCGTACCTACGCGGCGACTAAAACAAATTAACAAAAAAAAAAAGAAAACAATAAAAACTAGCAAATTCGAAATCTGGATGAAAATGTGATTAATCGAACGATCGGTTGTAATAAGAATGAGCAGCGCATAAGGCCATTATGACGGAATATGTTTCCGGATGTTATGTTCTTAAATGGACTGTTACATGACCAGAAATATACCCATATGAGAATCTGCGGTTCCTTGTAATCCAGACAACTTTTTATTGTCCGGAATTTCAGTCACTCCTGATCTTCGTCACACATGGTAAGTCTCGATGATTCGCATAAACCGCCTGTCTCACGGCAACGAATCATTGACACGATTCGTAATTTTCTTTTCTTTCGGTATAAACGGCAAGACGTTCAGAAACGATGCTTTCGCGAGCAGTTTCATCAGAAAAGGAGGAAATGCATAGACGTCGTAATTGTTCTCGCCCAGCTCATGCGCCAAGCCACGTGAACGCAACCCACGTTGCTCACGTGTCGCACCTATAATGCTGGTCTTTAATAAGATAGTATGACAGTGCAAAGAATGATGGGCAAAACAAATTAAAAGAAGCCGGCTGGCTTGGCGTAGTGGCAGGTGTGGCCATTCCCTCAAGCTTAAATCAACGATTTGAATCTGTCAGTGGGAAAACCAGTCCCTCAGTCGTTTTGGCAGTAAGTTTGCCTGGTACCAGCCAGGAGTTCTCGGGCACCACCAGCTTCCTTCTAAACAACCCTCAAGAAAAGCAGAGCATCGAGATCATAGCAGAGGGCAGTTGCTGCTGGCGGCCGCTCGGGCTACTCCTGCGTGTCTTCATTTATTAGAGTAAATTATGAAGCATTTCGCATAAAAGTACGACTAGTCACACAGTATTTGCTAATGTGAAGTTGCTACCAAACTGTCCAGAGTTCCAACCGCACAGTTCAACACGCCACAACAGCCCACACCAAAACTAACTCCCGACAGCAAAACAGTTCTGACGATTTAGGAACTCTAAAGCCGAACGCTGCTGAAGTGCCTAACAAGGATTAGGATCAGCTTCAAACAAGGATTAGCTTCTGTCTACATTAGTGCCAATTAAGCGCTACCACTTCCGTGAAGATTTCATTGAAACAATATTTTTTTTTCTGACCTTTCAATAAAAACTAAACGATGCGTTGCTGCGACTAAAAATACTACCTGAAACAGTATTATCGAGCACACATGCGACAAATGCGCCAACGAACATCGGCAAAGTTAGAAGCACTGTTAGCACTTGATCGAATACAGCGAATCCTGAACACAATGCGTTGTTTCTACATTACAGTTTTCACAATAACACAGAAAGCTTGTAAACCACGTTTACAGGCGATGAAGAATCACAGCAAGCTACATTCCAACCATAAACTACGCCTAACCAATAAGCATTTCTGCAGGTACAATGAAAATGATTTTTTTTTTTTTAACATCGACGGTAAAATTTTTCCTAAACTCCATCGGCAAAAATGAATAGCTTACCCCTCAAACACAATTTCTCAAAAAAAACTGATTTTAGCAGGAGAGCTAAGTTTAAATTTGACTAACGCAATTCAAACATTACGACAAAAAAGAAGTGTTGAGCTATGCAACAACTTAGTTAATCAGGAATCAACTGTACGCCCATCCGGTGCTACAGTAGAAGATGGGAAAATTAGCTTCGTCCAATCATATACCTGTTTCAATGGGATGCAGTCGGAAATAGCTTGGTACAATCATTCCTACCATTATCGAGAATCCCAATATTGCTATATTTCTGGTACATTTTAGATCAACCTGCAATTATGTGGATAGAAGATGTAGGAAGTTTTACCGCTTCACACACACACACACACACACACACACACATACACAGTTGCTGAAGCACATCTGAGATTTGTTCCTGAAAACTCAATATATTTAAAAGATTCGATTTATTTTGAAAATCCTCACGCCAAAATTCTTCTCAGCTGTTGAAAAATTGAGCAGAAAAAAATGATTTAGTTGAAGTGCAAATTCACGCTAGTTAAATATCAATTGAATCGGGTGCGTTAATCCAGGCAATAAATTAATTAAAAATGCTGGGAAAAATACATAAAGAGCTATTAGACAAGAATTAATCATTTTAACTAAAATACACCGACGTTACATGCCGTTCGTTTCACCAAAAATAAATGCAAAGAATGCTAGGGCAGCCCAGGCTTTCAGTACGAGTGTCCCATGAAAGTGATATTACTCGGATGCCTTCACACGTCGGGCACAGCTATGCCAGAACTTTCGAATCTGGGTTGCATACATTCAGTTAGCATCCACTGCCTATTCGATGGGCGCGACCCGAGCGACCATTTTTGGTCATTTGATAAAAAATAATGAATATAGGCCTAAAAAAATGTACCACTGTACTGTTGAGCAAAGCAGCCCGAGCTTTCTCTGAAACAAGTTCCCAAAAAAAGCTGAATAGGTCGGCTTTTTAAACTTATTTTTCCGGAAAAAGTTTGTTCCATGCAATGACGGTCAGCATTTTGGAATTTCTGGAGCCTTTATTTTTAATGACCGCTCTAATGTTACTGCGGCAGAAGAAAATAGAACTGTATGAATAACTGATAACCTGCTGAATGTTGGCTATTGCTACACCACCAACCATGGCCATACTACTGGCCAAGACTCCGCCGACCAGTGGATCTGGTATCGTTGAGAGCAATGCACCAATTTTGGTAAACGTTCCCAGCATGATCAGCATCACACCGGCTATTACCATCGTGAATCGACTAGCCACCTGTAATGCACAGCTAATCAGCAAAAAAGCAATGGAAGAGTCTCTCTGCAAGCTCAAAAAGCTGCTTTTTGACTATCCTTTCTCCAGTTCATCTGCTATACCTCAGTGCTGCACTACCGAACTAAAACTCAAAACTAACTTCCCATCTCATTCCTCATTGCCGGCAAATACTCAGTGCTAGCGAGCATACTAACAATAACAGTCAGTAGTCTACTCGCAAGATCGACTGTGGCTGGGCTGCCTCTTGCATTAGCTGTTCCAGAAAAGAATACTGAAAGCGACTGAGTTCTTGAAATGTAGGGGTGCCAGTTTACCACCGGTATCGAATCATACAAAGCGATCGGTGTTGCTTGCAATAACAAGCTTCCACCATCGAAACTTTATCCAGACGGTGACACCGAGCAGCATTATAACTGCACTAAAATATTCCGTCGTCCAGATAAGCAAATATTAAAAAGAAAGCTTCTCACCCGAGTGACACCAATAACTCCAATGTTTTCGGTGTGTGTTGTCATCCCAACACCAGGACCAAGCAGACCGGCCAGCAGCGAGCCTAATCCTGAAATTCCTCTACAATCACTGATAGAAAAATGTAAAAAAATAAAAA